TAGCTCAGTTTGAGGTGGGTGTTATCAGAAATGATTGTCCCTTCCACCATTATTGCGCCCATTCTTTATGCCAGTCAAGTTGGGCACTTGTAACTGCGGTGTTCCATGTTCCGCTGATGACTTTTAACAAAAATGGAGTGCCCTTGTAGGGCACAAACCTCGGCTGCTCAAAGGGCACAACCTCTGATGTCTCTGGTTGAATTCAAAGGAATGCAAAAGATTCTGGTTGACATGAGTTTGGTTGCAGGTGTTGCTGGAATGATGACATATTTAGACATCAGTTTGCCTTTGATTCGCTACACGGTTTACTCCATTGGTTTTCAACTTTCCTGAAGACAGTGGGACCATTCACCCAGAGCTGGAAGTTTAGTTTATGAGTGCCAGGGCATGTCCATATGCAGTGGGCATGAGCACTACATTTCTGGCATGCTAGCTTCTGAGTTACTCTGAAGCTTTAGTGGGGCAGCGAGGGACATATTTTCCATGAGTCTCCACAAGGAGGCACAGCTGAGGATTTCCTAATGGAGAGTTTGTGGACTACTAGGAAGAGATTTACCCAATTGGCACTCTGTTAATCAGCAATGTGGGCTGAAAATGAGAAGCAAATTAGCACACTAAAGTGTAAAATATGCTAACTTCTCTTTACCTACATCCTAGGTGCTGTGTATCAATCTGCTATAAATTCCGCTAAAAGATGGAACAAAATTCTTAAAATAGTCTGAACAGATATTACTTACAATTCATTTGCCTCAAGCAAGGAAATTTGCTTGTGACATTTTTGACAAGCATACATTCCTCTCCATCTCACAGCGTGTACCAGCTAGTTCACATCAGGACAACCTACAGCAGATCTTCAACTCATTTTAATTTAAAGTTGCTCTGTGCACTTGGTAAAGACGTGGCTTCAGTGAATTGTGGTTTAAATGACATGTTTGAACAGAACCTTCATTGGCTGTTCAGTTACTTACATCTGTTCAGAATTGTTGGGAGCCAGCCAGTCTTTGATCTGTTTCTGGCTTTTCTTTTATGACTCCACAAGTTCTTCAACTCATGTTATTAGGAACTGCAAATAAGCTGTGCTTTTAAATTTAACATCGAAATTATTTTCCCTGTCAATTTTGCAATGCAGGTGGTCAAACATGTTTCAGGTGAAAAGTACCTCCTCTTTGATGTGGCTTGCTTCTTAATTCCAGTTTTAATTCAAGCAGCTTAATGCCCATGTGAACAAGAAAAAGTCAAACCCCTAGGTTCCAACAAAATGAATACCCCACTTCCTAATGCAGCATTCAAAGCCAAAACAATGTTATTAGTTTCACACATGCATCAGGAGAAGATAGACCATGGGAGGAGAATTAACAGGGGAGGTGATGGCCTAGTGGGTATGAAGCTGGACTGTTAATCCAGAGACCCAGATAATGTTCTGGGGACCTAGGTTCGAATCCTGCCATGGCAGATGGTAGAATTTGAATTCAATAAAATATCCAGAATTAAGGGTCTAATGATGACCATGAATCCATTGTCGATTGTCAGGAAAAACCCACCTGGTTCACTAATGTCCCTTAGGGAAGGAAACTGCCATCCTTACCTGGTCTGGCCTACATGTGACTCCAGCTTTCCTGCTCCTCAGATGCTGCTTGGCCTGCTGTGTTCATCCAGCTCTACATCTTGTTATCCCAGACTCACAGCAATGTGGTTGACTCTTAACTGCCCTCTGGGCAATAAATGCTGCCTGGCCAGTGATGCCCTCATCCCGTGAATGAATAAAAAAACTACATCTGCCCAGTAATGCAGTGCATTCCTGAACCCATTAATTACAAGTGACAAACTACCCTAGGCAGGAACTTTCCAAGACCTTCCTGTGGAGTGTCCATTTACATCATTGTATCAGTCAAAGATTTAGAAAGGGCATGAACGATAGATTGAATTTTAACACAAAGAAATGGGTGCCATGGGTCTGGGTCAACTTAAACTTTAAAAATCTAAGCCCTGACAGCAATCAGTCTTCAACCCACCCAAATTCATGTTAATTTGAAGCACTTTGACCATTTAAATATTTGAATAAGGCTGGCAGCCTCTTATTTAACCTAATCACGTTATCTCCTTAGGTTGCACGCTGCCCAACATGCCACAAATTTTTCCTGATTTAAACTCTCCGCCTGCACCCAATCCTGCTCACTTCAAGACACCACACATCCCAACACCCACCAGGCCAAGTGTCTGGCCTTTTGGACATTATTTGCATTTGTTTTGGACAGGCAAAATTGAAATCTCACCTGAAATAGGCTGGTTAAATTAAAAAGACTTTTGCTTCGCTGCAAAAAAATACTATCTACTGCACATCTTCTAGAAGTGACCTGTGGTTTTACAGATGTAGCGTTCATTTGTCATAGCTCAGCACTGCTTTTGCCTGCGAGACCTATTTCTTACAAAGCATGGAGACTCAGTTGGTTTCTGTTGTTTGGTCTATTTATTGTATTAGTTTGTCACATGTGTCTTATAATATTTATACCTTATAACGTGGATGGATATAATGTCTTTAGATTCAGGCAACAGTTAAGAAGAAATAGTCTGCTTCAGGAATCTAAAAGAAAACGTTTGTTTCCATGGAGCAGTCATCTTCCATTTTGGACAGTCATGAGATTAAAAGTACGGCAGGTAATGTTATAGGGCAACTACCTGAAGTCCCAGGGAAAAGTTTCTCTGTGAAGGAAATGCAGGAAGTTAAAGGCCCTTGAGATACAGTAATTGATTGAATATCTGGTTTAACATGATCAATATCCTCAGTGAATTGACTAAATAAAGCTGACTTCGCTAAGAATTATACTGGAAACCAATTTTAAATGATCAGTCGAGCTAACAGTGTGATTGATTTACACATGCTAGAAGCTATATATATTAACACACAGCACCTTATTCTATCTACACAAAAGGAAGTCATCCATACATTGCCAACATGTGTTGCATTCTCCGTTTCAATAACCTGGACCAATCAGAGTCTACCTGCCTGGTCTGAGGCTTATTTAGCTAACAATAGTCAACAGTCATTCTGTTGCTCCCCTATAATAATATGGTTGTTCTTCTCTCAGAATTTGTTTCTGAATCTTCCTAGTTTCTGCTTCCAGTGCAGTTTGAGATGCTTTTCCCAAAGTCAAATATTCTTTGAACTATATAAAAATATGACAAAGACCCATCAACAATTCCAACAATCACTGTGATTCTTATGAATGCTTATTTCAAAGTTCCACAATCACGGTTTTCCACTGATCCATAGAGATAATTAATTAAACTATCTATGGATTCCCCAAAATGCTGAACTTTTCTGTTAAATCTCGCTCTCAGATAAAAGTTATTGATAGAAGTTTAGAAGACTTTCTTCAAAAGTATGAAAGGGAAATCATGTTTGACAACCTACTGGAGATTTTTGACAATGTAACCTGTAGAATGAACAAAGGAGAACCAGTGGATGTGGCCTATTCAGATTTTCAGTGCTTTTGGTAAAGTCTATAGAGGGGATTATTGTACAAATTCAAAGCACATTCGATGGCATAGGTTAAGAATTAATAGACAGGGAACCAATGGTAAGAATAAATGTGTTTTTTTTTTCTCAGTGTGTAGGGTCGTGACTATTTGTCTACTGCAGTGATTGGTGCTTGGCTACCAACTATTCCCAGTAGATATCAATAATTTGTATCAGCCAATCAAATGCATTATTTCCAAGTTTGCTGATGGTATAAAACTAGGTGGAATGTGAGTGGTAAGGAGAAAGTAAAGAGATTACAAAACAATTTAGACAAGTTGAGTGAGTAGGCATATGCATGCCTGAATCAGTACAACATGGATAACTGCAAATTTTTCCACTTCTTAGAAAAAAAACAGAATGGGAAAGCATTATTTAAATGGTAGTAGATTGGGAAATGCTGATGTTTAAAGGAACCTGGGTTTTCTTCCAGCCACTAAAAGTAAGCATGCAGATGCAACACGTAGTTAGGAAGGCAAATGGTTTGTTGATTAACGTTGTAAGAGGTTTTGAGTACTACAGCAAAGATGTCTTACTGAAGCTCGACACTGCCTCGGTGACAGCACACTTGAGTATGGTGTGTAGTTTTGTCTTGTTCCCAAGAAAAGATATGCTTGCCATAGAGAGAGTATAGCAAATGCTCATCAGACTAATTCCTGGGATGCAACATATGTCATGCGAGGTATGATTTAGTTGTGTAGGTCTGTGTTCCATGGAGTTCCGAAGAATGAGAGGGGATGTCATTGAAATATATAAAGTTCTGATAGGCCCAGATAGATTGGATATAGGGATGATGATTCCAATGGTTGAGATATGTGGAATTCTCTACCACAGAAGGCTGTGGAGGCCATGTCACTTAACATATTTAAGAAAGAAATAAATAGATTTCTAGAGACTAAAGGCATCAAGGTGCATGGGGATAGAGTAGGAATATGGCATTGAGAGGGAAGATCAGTCATGATCATGTTGAATAGTGGAATGGATTCAATGGGCCATGTAGCCTACTCCTGCTTGTAATTTTTTTTATCTGTGCCTTCTTTTATAATTTGACAATTTATAATGTCATCGTCTGTAGGTCCTATTGAGTATAATAATGTATTTACATGTTCAGCTTGTGATTTACTTTTTAATATTGAAGGGATTGTATATCTTAAGAACTGTTTTCTAAAAAATTATATCTTTGCAGAGTATTTTATAGCCTGCCATTTCTTCTCAATGTGATAATTTAATCTCCTTATTTTACAACTGGATTGTGTGAAGTATTTAAATGCAGCTATATTTCTGGCTTTTAAGCTTCTAAATCTTGGTAAATCAAAGTTATTTTCATCTCTGTCTTTAGAAAACCTTTACTTGCATGAATAGCAACCTTTTTCTATTTTCCTTGCTTTTAGAGCTTTTAAAAGGTGGAATAAAGTAATGCTCATTTTTGTTTTATTTTAGGCTTTAAGTTGTGTACAATAACAACGCTACATTATTTTTTTAGAGATAAAAAGTACTGGAGACATTCAGCAGATCTGGCAGTATTTGTGGAGGGAAAGCAGAGCTAACGTTTCAAGTCCAGTGATCTTTCTTCAGAACTGATCGTGGCTTGGAAAAGGTTGGTTTATGTCATGTTCAGCACAACATTGTGGGTGAAAGGGCCTGTTCCTGTGCTGTGTTTTCCTATGTTCTATGTGCTAGAGAAAGGGTTGGGGGAGGCGGAGGAGTAAACAATAGATGGAGATGGAGCCTTGAGAAAGAGAACAGCAAGTAAAGGAATTGTCAGTGTGGGAGAATCAATAACTGCTAATGGGAACCATTAGTAGCTGTGGATGGATTGGTAGCAGCCCACGTGTGTGTGGGGATTGGGAGAAAGTCATAGATGAAGGTACTCAGGCCCTAAAATTATTGAACTCAATATTGAGTCCTGAAGACTGCAGGGTCCCTAGGCAGAAAATATGATGCTCTTCATCCAGCTTGCGCTGAGCTTTGCTGGAGTACTGCAGCAAGACTAAGACAGTAGTGCGTTGAAGTAGCAGGGAACAGGAAGCTCAGGGATATTGTTGCAGACAGAATGTAAATGTTCTGCAAAGCAGTAACCCAGTCTGCATTTTGTCTCCCCAGTGTAGAGGTGACCACATTGTGAGCAGCGAATACAGTAGACCAGATTGTGTGAAATGCAGGTAAAGCACTGCTTCACCTGAAAGGGGTATCTGAGGCCTTAGATAGTGAAGAGGGAGGTAATAAATGGGCAGGTGTCGCACCTCCTACAGTTGCATGGGAAGGTGCCATGGAGGTGAGAGGGGGTGATGGGAGTGGACCAAGGTGTCATGGAGGAAACGATTCCTGTGGAAAGCTAACAAGGGAGGGGAGGGCAATTTGTGTCTGGTGGTGGCATCAAGCTGGATGTGGTGGAAATAGTGGCAAATCATTTACAGGATGAGGGCATCGCTGGCTAGACAGCATTTATTGCCCATCCCTAATTACCAAGAGGGCAGTTAAGAGTCAACCACATTGCTGTGGGTCTGGAGTCACATGTAGGCCAGACCAGGTAAGGATGGCAGGTTCCTTCCCTAGAGGACATTAGTGAACCAGATGGGTTTTTCCGACAATCAACAATGGATTCATGGTCATCATTAGATTCTTAATTCCAGATATTTATTGAATTCAAATTCCACCATCTGCCATGGCGGGATTCGAACCTGGGTCCCAGAATGTTATCTAGGTCTCTGGATTAACAGTCCAGCAATAATACCACTAGGCCATCGCCTCCCCTATCAATAGAATGATATCAATGATGAATAGAATGTGGATGTTGATGGAATGGTAGGTGACGACAAGGGGTGCCCTGCTGTTGTGGGAGAAAAGTGAGGGGGTCAGGGCTGAAGTGTGGGAGATGGGTCAGACCTGGCTGAGGGGTCTGTCAACTACAATGGATCTCGGCTTCCTCGGCTGAGGAAGAAGGTGGGCATTTCAGAGGCTCCCTTGTAGAAAATGGCATCATCAGAACAGATGTGAGGGGAGGTGATGGCCAAGTGGTATTATCACTGGACTGTTAATTCAGAGACCGGGAAACATTCTGGGGATCTGGGTTTGAATCCCACACGGCAGGACATTTACGTTCCACAGCACACACAACATGGTGATCAGTGATGGGCACATTTGCTTGAACACCACAGAGTTAGACTGATGGAGAAAATGCAATGGGACCTTGGGAAAAATGTTCAGAAGACCGTGGGTTTACCTCTTTAAATACTTTACCATTTAAGACGCTATCAATATCCTAAAAGTTACCATTCACAAGATATTGAACTGGACCAGCCATGTAAATGCTTCAAGAACTTGTCAGTGGCTAGGAATTTTGCAAAGAACAATTCACCTTTTGTCTCTCTAGACCCTGTGCACCATCTGCATGGTACAGGTATGATGTACCACTTTCCACTTTCTTGGCTCAATGTCACCCCAACAATACCCAAGAGGCTGGACGGAACTCACTTGATTGGCACTCCATCCACTAACTTCACTGTCACTGGGTCAAACTCCTGAAACTTCCTTGTTAACTGCATTGTGCCTGCATCTACCCCACCCCATGGACTGCAGTGGAGTAAGAAGACAGCTCATCACCACCTTCTCCACTGCAATAGGGGATGGGCAATAAATGGGGCCTATGCAGCTGTACCCACATTCCATGAACAAATAACAAAAAGTGTGCCCATTGCCATTCCAAGCTGGTGGATGTTGTGCCTTTCTAGTGTCCTGCAGTGGCAAGATGGGTTACCTCACAAATGTATTGAAATTGGGTGTGCATGGTTTAGGTGGAAGCCTGACTCAAAATCCACCACTACTGCCTATGTTTCCAAGGGGTTGGATAGAAAATGGGAGCTCCATAATGTAAGTGTCTTTTCAGCAGTTCTGATGAGCTAGTGCAGGGATTGATAATGTTAATAATAAGCTGAGCTACTTTTAAGATCCAGTCAAAAATTTTCAGAACCTGAAGGTGGTTACTCAAATCCCAATAATAATGGGAACAAGATAACGAGACATTTCAACAAAATAAAACTTTTGAATTAAATGAAAATTTCCCACAGGTACAATGTTAATAAAAAATCTTTTGAAAAATGAAATAAACCATTTATTACCATCAAACTGAGTTTGATCAATCAAGATCAAGAACTGCATACCAATCTTCAAAAACCCACACGTGGTTTCAGAGCCACAGGATCCAGAACCTGGGTGAGAAGTAGTCAGGGTCTTCCAACTCCTGCTGGCCTCTCTCAACCAAACACAACTTCCCCCTTCCTCAACATAATTTCTGACCTTCTTCCCTTATGTCAATGATATCTGACCTACTGTTTGACTGCTGCTTTTCTGCCAAATTATCATGGAGTCAATATCATCAATATTTGCGTTTAGACTGGCTGAGCCTATCTGGGATTTAGAACTAGAAATAAAAACATCTCTAGCCAGACCCTAAAGACTGGGGATGAATTTCCGTTTTGTTTAGATTGACTCTTGACTAAAAGATGCATATTTTTGTTGTTTGTTTTTCTTACAGGTGAATATCTGTAATTTGTGTGTGTACTCAAGCCCTGGTGTTTGTTGCTCCTGGCCACAGTAACATGCTTTAGCCAAAAACAAACTTGTCAACAAAACGTCTTTCATCAAATGGGTTCACATCAAGGGGGAGCAGTCTGTACAGACTGATGGAAAGATTGAAGAAAGGTTTTGCTCTGCCACTTGTTTAACCTTTTACCTGCCAATTCTGGCCTTGTAGCTATGAGTGGTACTAAATTCCAAATATTTGACTATAATGCGGTCATTGACTTGCTCGCCAAGTTGGTAAGTTTGTTTGCAAAAGTTTCATCACCATGCTAGGTAACATCGTCAGTGCACATCTGGTGAAGCTTCACTGGAGGCACACTGATGACGTTACCTAGCACGGTGACAAAATGTTTGCAAACAAACTTACCAGCTCGGCGAGCAAGTTAACAACTCAATCTACAAATCTTCTCAAAAACCTTGAAATTGACAATAATGGACAAATAGATGAAAAGGCTGGGGAAAGACAAACCAGTCTACTAGCCTGTGCCATCCAGATATGGTGCAAACTACTTATAATAACAATGTCTCTGCCTCACTTCATTTCAGTCACACAATGTCCTGACGGCAACAAACAAAAAAGAAGAAAACATTTCGGCCAATGTGGGAAGATTAGGGACTCCATTGGGATATACAGCACAGCTCTCCTTGTGAGTTGCCAGCATAAACATAGTTGCAGAGGCTTATTATTTTGGACATATGTATTTGAATGGAAACTTATTTAATTCCCATCACTTCCATTAGACATCTTGGATTGGTAATAATAATAATCAAATCCAAAACTAATGGTAAAACAAAAAGATGTATGAGAAATGGCAGTGCTAAGACAAAAGATATAACTATTGCAGAAAATAGGGAGACATGGGATTGAAGGTGATTTAGCGGTTTGGATCAGAAATTGGCTAGCTGTAAGAAGACAGAGGGTGGTGGTTGATAGGAAATGTTCATCCTGGCGTTTAGTTACTAGTGGTGTACCTCAAGGATCTATTTTGGGGTCACTGCTGTTTGTCATTTTTATAAATGACCTGGATGAGGGCGTAGAAGGATGGGTTAGTAAATTTGCGGATGACACCAGAGTCGGTGGAGTTGTGGATAGTGCGGAAGGATGTTGCAGGTTACAGAGAGACATAGATAAGCTGCAGAGCTGGGCTGAGAGGTGGCAAATGGAGTTTAATGCGGAAAAGTGTGAGGTGATTCACTTTGGAAGGAGTAACAGGAATACAGAGTACTGGGCTAATGGTAAGATTTTTCGTAGTGTGGATGAGCAGAGAGATCTCGGTGTCCATGTGCATAGATCACTGAAAGTTGCCACCCAGGTTGATAGCGTTGTTAAGAAGGCGTACGGTGTGTTAGGTTTTATTGGTAGAGGGATTGAGTTTCGGAGCCATGAGGTCATGTTGCAACTGTACAAAACTCTGGTGCGGCCGCACTTGGAGTATTGCGTACAGTTCTGGTCACCGCATTATAGGAAGGATATGGAAGCATTGGAAAGGGTGCAGAGGAGATTTACCAGGATGTTGCCTGGTATGGAGGGAAGGTCTTATGAGGAAAGGCTGAGGGACTTGAAGCTGTTTTCGTTAGAGAGAAGAAGGTTAAGAGGTGACTTAATAGAGACATACAAGATCATCAGAGGATTAGATAGGGTAGACAGTGGGAGCCTTTTTCCTCAGATGGTGATGGCTAGCATGAGGGGACATAGCTTTAAATTGAGGGGTGATAGATATAGGACAGATGTCAGAGGTAGGTTCTTTACTCAGAGAGTAGTAAGGGCGTGGAATGCCCTGCCTGCAAAAGTAGTAGACTCGCCAATTTTAAGGGCATTTAAATGGTCATTGGATAAACATATGGATGATAATGGAATAGTTTAGGTTAGATGGGCTTCAGATTGGTTTCACAGGTCGGCATAACATCAAGGGCCGAAGGGCCTGTTCTGCGCTGTAATGTTCTATGTTCTATGTTCTATAGATCTACAAGTGCTGAAAGCTCCAGAGGCAATGCCCTGGTTTGTAAAGGCATAATTAACATTGCCTGTTGATAAAATCAAAGAGGATACTTAAATTTAGCAGTTAGTTACTGCTTTTTAATTCACTATCTGATAACAAAATGATTTGAAGTCTCTTGGCATCATTGATTTATTAATTATTCCCATTCCCACTAAACTGCTGAGCACAAAACTTCCCCTCCTGGTGCCCATACTAGTTGATACTGTAATTGTTCTGTCTGTTCAGACGAGACTGCAGAACTGCTGGGAAAAACCCAGAAATGGGTGTGGCTGGTCCTCAATTGATAGTCACCCCCCTGGTTGATGTGGAGGAGGCTTCATAGAATGACAGCATGGCAGGTCGCATGGCCATTGACAATGGAGAGATGGGGATTTCTCAGATAACTGGCGACAAAATTACAAATCATATTGCCACTTGTCACATTGTAAACTGCTTTTCTTTGATTTGAGACTGTTGGCTACTCACTGTTTCATGATTCTGCCATGGGTCTTTTTGCCAGTGCACATGCTGAATCTCCGATCACATATCTTTAGGTACATGGGGCAGGATATCTCATGAGTTAGTGTGACCCAGAATAGAGTATTTGCTTTCTTTTCGTACTTTCCCTGTCATTGCTCTACTAACCATAAGACCATAATTAGGCTGTTTGTCTCATCGATTCTGCTCTGCCATTCAAACATGGCTGATGTGTTTCTCAACCTTATTCTCCTGCCTTCTCCCTGTAACCCTTTGATCCCTTTACCTGTCAAGAACCTATCTATCTCTGTCTTAAATACACTCAATGATTTGGCCTCCACAGCCCTCGGAGGAAATGAAGTCCACAGAAACACCACCCTCTGGCTGAAGAAGTTCCTCCTCTTTGCAGTTCTGAAGGGTCATCTTTCACTCTGAGGCTGTGCCCTCATGTCTCGTGAAGATATTGTGATTCAGTCATTAACGTCAATGATACTGTTCTTCAAGGAGAACTTCAGAGTGTCTTCAAAGCATTGTCTTTATCTTCCCTTGGAACATAGGCCGCTTGACTGTTGACAAAACAGGTCATCAAGGAAGACAGCCTTTTAACAGCCCTATCAGATCAGCCCCAGTATTAATAAATGTGGAACAGGCTTGAGTGGCCTACTGCTGTTCCTATTTCTTATGATTTTGTGCAAAAATGTTATTAAGTACTGCTGAGGCTCCAGTTAGAATATTGCATCCAATTTCAATTGCAACACTTTTGGAAGGATGCCACCGCCTTAGTGAGAGTTCAGAAGAGATATAATGCAAGTATCAGGGATAAAAGATTTCAATGACCTGGATAGAGTAGAGAAATGGGATTATTCTCCTTAGAGCAGGGAACATTCTAGAGAGATTTGATAGACATGACCTGAAGAGTTTTAATACAATACCAGCAGCATACCAGAACTTAAGGAGAGTGAGGGGGCAGAGGTGAGTGTAGTGGCCATCACTCAGGAGAAGGTGCTGGGTAAGCAGAAAGGTCTGAAGGTGGATAAATCACCTGGTGTAAAATCGTGAGGGGCATGGATAGGGTGAATAGCCAAGGTCTTTTTCCCCAGGGTAGGGGAGTCCAAAACTAGAGAGCATAGGTTTAAGGTGAGAGATGAAAGACTTAAAGAGGACCTAAGGGGCAACTTTTTCATGCAGAGGGTAGTGCGTGTCTGGAATGAGCTGCCAGACGAAGTGGTGGAGGCTGGTAAAATTACAGCATTTAAAAGGCATCTAGATGGGTACATGAATAGGAAGGGTTTAGAGGGATATGGGCCAAATGCTGGCAAATGGGATTAGGTTAATTTAGGATATCTGGTCGGCACGGACAAGTTAGACCGAAGGGTCTGTTTCCATGCTGTACATCTCTATGACTACGACTATGACTATGACAGTAAATAAGGAGAAATTATTTCCAGTGGTAGTTAAATTGGTGACCAAAGGGCACAGATTTAAAGTAATTGACAAAAGGAATAGAGTGACACAGAGGGGAAAAGAAGAGGTTATTCAGGGTGTCGCTATGATCTGGGATTTCTGAAAAGCAGATTCAACTGTAGTTTTCAAACTGGAACTGCAGGAAAACTTGCTGGGCTGAGGAGTAAAAGCCAGTCTATAAATGGGAGTAATTTGATTGCTTTTTCAAAAGGCCCACACTGTCAGATGGACCTAATGGCCTCATTCTGTTCTGGATCATTCCACGAGTCAATGAAGGACAAATAAATGAAATTGAGGTGCTTATCAATCATGAGATCTGATTGATAGACTAAGTCAAATCAGCTGAATAGCTTTCTCGTACTTTTATGTTTCTTATACTTTCAGCTGGTATGTACATCTGGTCTGTATAAAACTTCCTCAAATGTTATAGAAACATTAAAAGTAAGGCATTAAAAATATTGAAGTGGAACAACTGGAAAATATTTTAAAATTTAAGTTGTTACATTTTTTATTCTCTTTACGTTTCATTTGTGACCTTCTGTTTCGGTGCCAATAATAAATGTTTTGATGAATAGAATATCGACCTGAAACCTGAACTCTTTTTCCTACAGATATTCCTACAGGGTCTTTCCATCATTTTCTGCTTTCATTTCAGTGTATATCAACTAGTAACACTTGCCTGGATTTTCTAGCCATCTCCCTCTGAATTTAGGTGGTCTAGAATGGGAAATGGAATGGGAACTTTTTGTCTTAAGTCCTCCTGCTAATTTTCATGAGGCAGTCTGGTTAAAGTTATAAACACTCATCTACCAAGAAAAAAATAAGCACAAATTGCAGCCAAGGAAGCTAAAGTAGTTTTCAGGGAAACATTAGTTTTAGCTTTTAGCTACAGATGACTGTTAGAAAATAAAATCATAGACTCATACAACATGGAAAAAGACCCTTTGGTCCAACCAGTCCATGCCAACAATAATCCCAAACTAAACTAGTCCCACCTGCCGGTGTTTGGCCCATATCCCTTCAAACATTTCTTATTCATGTACTTATCCAAATGTCTTTTAAATGTTGTAACTGTACCCGCACTCACCACTTCCTCTGGAAGTTCATTCCACACATGAACTACTTGCTGTATAAAAAAAGTTGCCTTTCACGTCTTTTTTAAATCTTTCTCCTCTCACCTTAAAGTTATGCCCCCTAGTCTTGAAATCCCTCACCCTAGGGAAAAGACATCTGCCATTTTATACCCCTCAAGATTTTATAAATCTCTATAAGGATACCTCCCAACCTCCTACACTCCTGTGGAAAACAGTTCCAGCCTATCCAACTTCTCCTTGTAACTCAAACTCTCCATTCCTGGCAACATCATGGTAAATCTTTTCTGAACCCTCTCCAGAATATTTTGTTGCAAGTAGCATTTTTAAATTCATTCTCGGATGTGAGCAGTTCTGGTTGAGGCTGGTATTTATTGCCTATCCTCCATTGCCTTGAGAAACTTGTAAGCTCAGTCCAGAGATCATTTATGAATCAGCCATGTTTGTATAGGACTGGAATCAGATATAGCAGGTCAAGTATGAGTCACAGGTTTGTTTCCCTGACGGACAGCACTTAGTTGAAGATTAGTGTTGTATGATGAACCCTCCATAAACTACTTGGGCTATTAGTTCCCAAAGGTAGTTTTGCTGCCACCCTATGGGGCCCGCTTGGTCTAGTTTGGTAAAGGAAAACCTCTTTTTGGAAAACAAGTAGAGGTGTTTTTTTCTTAAACAAGATGTAGTTTTATTGTGGATAACAAACAGACACGAGATACATTGGTATGATAGCAATTGTTGCAAAAAATATGAGGGAGACCTAGGTGATAGGTCTGCATCCTTCGAGATCTAGAGCTGCTCTCCTGCTCAAGCTCAAACAATATTGGACAGTATTTCGTGTACTCCTGAGCATTGACCTTTTCAGAGCCTAACACCTTATACAACAATTAGAACATTATTTCAAATGTAATTAAATATTTGAGAAGAACAAATATAAGATCATATATGATAATGAATGGGAAAATGGAATTAGAATAAATTGCACAAAGCCTGCACAGCAGAGAAAAGATGGACCAAATGAACAACTTCTAGGCTGCAATTTTTATGAATCTATAAGTCTGGTCATTTATCATTTAAGGTTGTGTTGGACCATTCAAAGCAGCTACTGCTTTTTAAAGACAATGACTTATTTTGTGATATACAAACAAGGCACAGCATAAATCAGTTAAAAGAATGGCTCTTATACAGCAACCAAACTTTAACCTAAGGATGGAATAATAAGCACCCACTTCAGTCACCTCATGTTGACTCTGGTATTTCCATAGATGCATTAGATATAGTGAGAAATACAGTTCTTATGGTACAGAGATAGGAGAAACAATTATGGTCTCCTAATTAAAAGGACATGAGCAAAGACATCTATCTTTGCCTGCACACATTTGTGCTTCAATCCAATTGAAGAAGCAATATGTTTCAGACTGTTACAGTTGAATTTCAAAGCATCTTAAGTTTGTTGTATTTTCCCTTGAAATATTTAGTCATCAAATAATAAAAATTGTGAAAATAGAATCTAATGAGAAAAATCCTTGGGACCAATTTTCACCAAATTCTTTAGGCGGTAATGATATAAAGAGGTGGTTAAGATTGAGTCTTAAGTTCAGTTTAGCCATGTGTAATGCAAGATGCCATAGGTATAGAGAAATGAAGCCTGTGTGTGTATTGCATAGAGGCTTGTTCATTCTCACTGAAAATACCAGGTAACACACATTATATGGTAGTACAACTTTTCAGTGGGTATAGCCATATAACTTAATACCTTTGCCAAAAAGCGACCAGTTGTTGGAGAGCAAATAGGAGCAGAGGACCAGAAGTAGACCATTCAGTCCATTGGGCCTGCTCCACCAATTAAAACCATCATGGTTGATTGAACACTTCATTGTCTTTTACCCAAACTATCCCTATACCCATTATGCCAATGGTCATCAGAAATCTGTAAATCTCTCCTTTAAATGTAATCAAAGACTGAGTCCCCACAGTCCTCTGACATAGAGAATACCAAAGATTCACAACACTTTGAGTAAACGAAAGTTTCTCCTCATCTCAGTCCTAAATGGCATCCTCTTATTTTTAAATTGCACCCTATGATTCTACCATGTCTATCCCTTTACGTATTTTGTAGATTTCAATGCGATGAGATCACCTTTAATTCTTCGAAACTCTGGAGAATACAGGCCTAGTTTTTCCAAACTCTCTGCATTGGACTGTCTCATCATCTTGGGAACAAGTCTGGCGAATCTTCGTTGTACCCCATTTATGGCAATAATATCTGTCCTGATTTGATTTGATTTGATTGATTATTGTCACATGTACCTAAGTATAGTGAAAAGTTTTGTTTTGCATGCAGTACAGGCAGACCATAACATACAAGGATCATAGGGTGATTGAACAGAGCGATGAATGCAAAGAGGTAACGAGACAAAAGCTATACACAGTAATCTAGGTGTGGTCTTACCAAGCTTCTCTACAATTGAAACAATACTTAACCTTTCCTGGACTCAAATTCTTCCTAATAGCTCGCTGCACCTGCACGTTAGCCTTCGGTGACTTATTGCCAAGGACATCTGAGTCCTGTGTACGTCTACACTTTTCAACCTCTTACCATTTAAGAAATTCTCTGTACATCTGTTCCTCCTAGCAAAGTGAATAATCTTACAGTTTTCCACATTACATTCCATCTGACATGTTCTTGCCCAATCATTAAGTCTGTCCAAATCTTCCTGAAGCTGCTTTACACCTTCTTGAATTAGCATTGAGTACGAGTACTCATTGAATATGTACATATTCCCACTTGGTTTTGTGTGGTCTGCAAATTTGGAAATGATACGTTTGGTTTCCCCCTCCAAATCATTGATAAATATTGTGAATGGATGAGGCCCAAGTACTGATCCCACTAGTCTCTGCCTGCCAACATGAGAATGAACCATTTATTACTATTGTCTGCTTTCTGCCTGTTAGTCAATCCTTAATCCATGCTGATACACCACCTCCTATCCCATATACTATAATTTTCTAATCAGTTTCCTGCAGGAGACCTTATCAAAAGCCTTCTGAAAATCCAAGTATACTATTTCCGTCAGCTCCCCTTATCAATTTAGTTAGTAACATCATAAAAAACTCCAGAAAGTTTGTCAATCATGATTTCCTATTTGCAAATCTGTGCTGACTATGTCCCAATCAGATTATTATTATCCAAGTGTCTATTTATCACATCACATATAATAGATTCTAACTCTTTGTCCACTACTAAAACAAAGCTAACACATCTGTTGTTCCTCATTTCTCTCTTGCTCATTCATTAGTAAAAGGGTGACATTTACTAGCTTCTAATCTTCAGGGGTCATTCCTGCATCTGTAGGTATTTGCAATTTGATCACCAATGCATCAACTATCTCCATAGTCAACTCCACCAACATTCTGAGATGTAGAATATAGGGTGCCCAGGACTTAACAACTTTTGGCCACTTTATTTCTCCAATACAACCTTCTTGTTAATATTGATTTCTTTCTACTCCTCATTATCCCTAGTTACTTGAATATCTAATTATTGTACCAGTGTGAACAGACACAATGTAATCATGCAGTTACCCTGTTATTTCTCTATTTCTCATTATGAATTCTCCTGCCTCTGCATATAATGGGTTCACATTTATCTTAGCCAAACATTTGCTTTTTACATAATTGCTTTTACAGTCTTTTTATGTTAGTTGCCAGCGTGCATTCATATTCTAGTCCCCCTTTCTCAGTTTCTTTGTCTTCCTTTGCTGTATTCTAAAACCCTTCCAATACTCAGATTTACTACTATTTCTGGCAACTTTATAAACTCATACATCAGTTCTCCAACCTTGTGTTCAATCATTCAGTCCTGCTGTTCTTTGCTCACCAGTACCAGACACGGGGGAGCAATCCTGTTACCGCTGCTCTTTTGAAGTTCTGTCCTAATTCCCTGAAATATAATTTCCAGTCCTCATCCCTCTTTCCATCTCTCCCATTGGTGGACCACAGCTTCTGTCCTGCATCAACTCTGTGACATCCTTGGCTTTGGCACCGGGGGACAACGCACCATCCTGGAGCCACATTTAATGTGATAGTAGTACTTGTCTGATCCTATGACTATGAAATCTCCTATCACTGTCACCCTTCCATCCTTTACAAAGTCACGAGTTGATTGTTTGGTAAGTAGCTGCTCTTACAGACTGTGCATAAAGTATTGAAGTTGCAAAAACAAAAATGAAACAAGTTGTCACTCCCCAGCATATGATTATTTCAGCGACTCCACAGAGGAGGAATAAGAAACCAGTGATTTCATTGTTTATTTGATTTTTA